TTCAATGAATAAAGCAAATATATTCATTTTATTATATCATATCTAACATTACATCGATTGAATAATCTAAGGTAAGAGGACACTCCCATTGGTTTTACATATAACAGGAGTGTGCATTCGTTCAATCGGATATATGCATTTATCGAGATTTTTTTCAATTGACCACGATATGTAGGTGCGCCCCCATGAAAACAGCAGACTTCACTCAAAGTATTTTTATTGATACAACTAGAAAATATTTTGGATACTTCAAGATGATTTGACAACTACTACACTTTTAGGCAACAGAAACAGCGGATTTATATAACCATGAAGAATGATTGCACATGCTGGAACCAAACGAATTGGTCTCTGCGTGATTAGTTCGTTGCTTTTTTTCCTAATTGAAACGTTTTGTAAAAGTAGAAAATTTACTAATTAGTAAATCCGTGTCATAACATCCTAAGTTGCAGAGAAGTACATACTTTCTGCAATACTTATTGCGTTCTACATCACCACTGTAGCATGTTTCTCAAAGAAAAGTGTATGAATTGACTTATTTTTCAACGTCCTATCTCAACATCAAAATATTGTGTTTCTCCATTCCGAAGAAGCATTAGAAAAATATCAATCTGAAAGCCCTGCAACAAAGAACACAACTGCCGTGTTTGTATAGGCAACGGCAATGATTCACATTATGCTACCCTTATGTATGGTCAAAAAAAGGGCACCTGGGATAACAGCTTTGCAACATATTTGTTCCCGTGACTAATAAAACATCGACGAACGCTTTCGGGCTCACTGAATCAAATGGTGTCTTCCGAATCCATGTGACAAATTTAATATCAAGTTCTGTGGTTTTTTTAGTGTATGTATTTGTCATGATAATTTATCGGAATCCCTGAAGCAATCAACTGACTCATCACTAACACTTGTTCAACGCAAAACAAATGTGTATAAAGAATTATTGTGCATTGTTAGAGTTGAGTAGGCCGAAACACAATACTCTGGGTGGTAAAAATAACACAGATCACAAATACAAAAATAACTGGAAAAATGCAAAATTTTTAGACTGTTCAATTGAAGACCAATGAACATCCATTGTCCATTTGGCGATTTAATACCAATCAAGCTCAGTTTTTCAGCTCATTTATAAGCTGCGAAAACTCGGTAATTGATCTTACTATTTAATTAGCAACGTGAGTATCACAAACGTTCAGTCACACACTCAGAAATGTTGTTGTTTGAAGCTTCTTATGCTCGAACGTGATGTTTTTTCAATGTATTAAGAATTATCTAACATTCTTTATTTAAATATTAAATATTTTTGCAATAGTCTGTACAAAGATAAGGACGTTGATTTGATGCATAAACAGATGTAAACTATTTTGAACGAGAGACTGATAATTTAAGTGGTTTTTAGGTCATAGGTTGGCTACTTTGTCTATTAAGTTTTATATCTGAAGTCCTAATTATATATTTTTTAAGCTCTTAAAAACGGCAAAGTAGTAAAGTCCTTCTTGCTTTGCCATAAATATATAATAAAGAAAAACTGTCTAAACTGGACGTTCAATTGATTTAATATTCTGTTTTAGCTAGCCACCCATCGATTTTTTGAAAGAAGCCAAACTTTTTATAATGCTTAGACAACAAAATCAGAATGTAAATTGTTTTTGATTCACTTGTGAGTGAACAATCAGCAATTTTCATAAAATTAAATCGGTTTACAAAGTAAAAACATATTGTTGCAATTGCTAGATTTGCAGATATAAAACAAAGGATGAAAACTACATTTAATGTTTTTAAATAAAAATGAAAATTACAAATTGTTTCATTTCACAACAGAATTAGGTCCATTTATTTATCATAAACTGTGCTGGCCTACAACAAATGTTTCTGTTAGTTTTCTTTGTTTCTTCGGTTTCAATCTTCGGCGCAGAATGTATACAGATTTTTCTTAAACCGTTTTTTGAGTTTCCAGTCTTTGCTTGTGTGTATGCATATGAGACACTGTTTATTTATATTTCAAAAATACTGTGGCCAAATACCGATCGTGCTCAAACATTAACCCGAAAGCTTATTTTACAAATTCTTCTCGTTCTTGGAATTCCTGGAATTATCAACAAGCTTTTAGGCAAGTGATTGGTAGTTTTCGACCACTGGCGGCGATAATTTTTAAAATCCAATTTAAAACAAAAAAAAATATGTTTTCTGAACGAATGTTCACTTTGAATATCCTGGATGAGACTGCTATTGACTATTACATTATAATATTGTTTAAAAGTAAGCAAACAGTCTAATCAGCAACTATTTCTTTGTTACAGGAATATCGAACAATTCTAGATAAGAAGATCGAAGAACCAAAGCCCGAACCAAGGAACTGAGAAAACGTACGTACTGCCTTCATGCGAGCAAATGAACTAACTGATTTTATTCCTGTCTGACGATGAAAAATAAACATTAACAATCGCAAACTGACGCACTTTAACCATGTTTAGTATCAATGTATTTGATGACACCATCGACCGAACACGTTGTTTGTGTCCAAGGCAAACGTCACATAAAGTGCTTCCTTTTTAGAAAGATATACATTTGCCTTAATTGATGTCATTGACTGGAAAATCTGTTTCTAAATTCTATTGTTTCTGCTTGTTGACCCTTGCAACACCCTTAACTTCCATTCTACTTGAATGCTGACTTGATGTTTTATTTTACGTGTATTTTTTATGATTCTCCAAAATGTTTTGGCATAAATTGATGTAAAACAACGTGATTGATTTCTTTGCTAATATTTATTTATTTATATTAAAATGTTCGTACAATTTGTTTCAATTTAATTTGGTTTTAAATCCTTCAATTGAGTTGGACATTCGGTTTCCTTCAGACTTATGTGTTGTTCTTGAAAAGTTTTGTTCCAGATATTTAAAACTTTTGGACTTTTGTTTTTAAGACAGGAAATTTTACTATGTATTAATAAATATAGTAAACACTTTTGGCATAAAAATCATCGGATATGCATTATGATAAAATAATAAAATTAAATGCATTAATAATAATGTTAAACTTCACATAGACTATAAGTATTTCAAAGTTTGAGGAGTTTGAGGGTTGCTTTTGAGCTTTAGCGCTAGTTTTGGTATTACGATTTTTCATTTTATGTGATTTTGGCAAAGTAAAGCCGCTTTTTTGGGCAAAACTATTTGAGTCATCAAGCTCGTTTACGTAGCCATTCGAGAGAGCATTTAAATGCTTTTTACGCAGTGCAGCGGAGTGAGGAAATAGAAATAAAATAAAGTAAATTTTTTAAATTCATATTTCAATTACGAGATGCGTTGCTTGGATTGAAATTCAAGTTATCCTTATTAGTATCATTTTTTAAAGTTGGAACAGCAGTTTCTTACCACTCCTTAAATTTGGCAACTCATTGTCTCAAATTCAATTGTTTTCAATCTACAATATTTCGTCTTGAATTTAACATTGATTTCTCTATTTGATAACAATTCAATCTGATTGTACCTTTTTGTGCAACTGTTAATTTTTAATTGAGTTGCACTGATTGTCATTTATCCAGTATTTTACACTTGAAGAACGAAATACACTTTTGTTGCAAACAAGCTTGGCACATTCACTGGGCTTCTTTCTGGAGACCACAAAGGTTTGCTTTCTTAAAATTTGCACTTTTCAAAGTTTTACCACCAAGAAAAACGTTCCAATTTCATTTATCAAGTTTTCCAAAACAAATTTTGCTCAAATTAATGCGTTTGTCTAAATATCACCGCAGAAGTTTAGTTAATTTTTCAGTTTTTGACATCCAGTCCAAAAAGTTTACGGTTTTAAGGCTATTTAAAGGACAATCCTTGCTATGTTATCAATGAAATTGTAGATAACTGTATTCTCCCTAAACTTCTAATATTAGACTTTTCCAAAAACCAGAAAAACATGTAACTTAGGATATTATATTAGGATTGTTTGTATAAAGTGTGCATTGCAAGTTAGAACACACAAAAAGCGAAATTTGATTAAGACACATTTTAGGCACCTAGTTGATAAGGCCAACGTTTCAAACTTGCCACAACACATTCAGCCAATGGGTTCATTTTTATACCATTGGATAGAGAATTCAATAGCATATTTCTGCAGTGAAACATCACTTGGAAAATGTGAGAACTTTTCACGTAGCGAAATTTCAACTTGCCTTTTTAATTTTACGCGGTTTTGGGAAAGTTGGCTCTTCGGCTCAAACATGACGCAGACTTTTTGGCTATATATCAGTAACGTTTTGAGCGACAGCTCTCCTGTTTCAAGATAGAGCATGAAAAACCCTGTTTACCACGTGGAAGATCAGTTACGAAATATCGGCAGTTTTCGCACAAAAAGTGAATTGTGTACTGTACATTTAGATACATGACAAGAATATGTTTTCAAAAGATTATTTAATTTTTGCGCATGTATCTCAGGCACATGTCGAGCTACCTCTTTCATTTTTACACTGCTGAGGAAAGAATTAAATGGTAGATTTCTAAAGTGAAAAATCACTAGGAAAACATCGACTGTTTTCACACAAAAACGTTGTAGATCGTTGCTTGCTAAAAAAAATTATAACGCAATTTACTAATAGAAAATTTTCTCATAAAAAAATACAGAAATACAGTTTTTAAGGAAGAAAGGGAGTTTTAAGTTTGTGTTCAGCCCTAAAACCAGTTAGGACGATTTTTCAATGTCATGTGCAAGTTCAAAGACTTCCGAAAAATTAGCCAACGCTCGGATTCTATTGAATTTTAATGCAGTTTTTAGCTAAAACGTTCATGTTTACTATGGAAACACTTCAACTGATTCATTCTGCTGATTAGGTTGTTTCGATTTTTTATTTACGTCTACCACAACTTAGAAGGACTTAAATTTTACGTTTTAGTTTCAGAGCTTCTGAATAATCGGGCAGTTCTCGGATTATTTTGATATTTTCTCAGATTTGGGGCCAAGCATTGCGCTTTAATGTGCCGAAGTCTCAACTTGGTACTTTCCGTGGTTTGAGAGCTACGATTTTTCGCTCAGCTTCAGATTCTTCAATTTCGTGTCCAAGTTCAAAGAGTTCGAAAAAATCAACCAACCCGCTGATTCTTATGATTTTTTTTTCAGTTTTCAACTAAACTTTCCCATTTACTGTGTATACATTTCAAGTTATTAATTCTACTGATTAAGGAGATTTGATTGATTATTTGTCTTCGACAACTTGAAGACTTTCTTCAGTTTTGTAGAAATTTTTATTAGTAAATATATAACTGTAACTCTCCAGAAACTAAGTCAGGACATTTTTAGTTATATTTTTCCGAAAGTTACGTCACAACAAATGGGAAACGCATCTTTCATTTGCATGAAATTTGCAGTTAAGCATTTTCACTTTTGTTGCTCGGCCACTGTGAAGTATACAGACAGATAAGTGCATTTGAACATGTTTAATGTAAATACCGCTCCGTCTAATTGCTTCAGCATTCGTGCTCTCTTTCACAGGGTAAAACCATTATACAGGTCACGCTCACTTGGGTGCCAATTTTTTACTTGTAAAAGACCCGGTTTTTCTAGCAACGCGTAGATAAGTCGCTTTCTGTTCAAATTTTGCATATTAGATAAAAGGTTTTGATTAAGCTCATTTTATAACACCAATTAATTGGCTTGGCTTCATGCTGATATCGGACTTGGTTGACCTGAAATAGTGTGGTAAATTGCACTTCAAGTGGGGTAACATAAATTTAAAAAAACTGTTGTATTGAGACGCTGAAAAGGGTTTTATAAAACCCAGGAAAATGTTGAAAGCTATATGATTAGTAATCTAATCCCATCTTCTTTTAGTGAAACAACGTTCGAATAACGTGTTGATGCGAGTGCAACAAGGAAGTTTTCTCAACGCTTATGTTAATAAGAGATAAAACGCTACTTTGAGGGCTTTACACCTCTTTCTCTCTAACGAGCTTATGTATCGTCCTTGTTCATTCATAGATTTCAGTCGTTAATCATCAGCAGTTAATTTGTGTCTGAGCCATTGGCATTTTATTAATATTAACGACATTTTAATAATGTTTGACTTCCAAAATGCAGCAGAACAGCTTACAAGGACATACGTTTCCTTAGGGTAGGCAAATGTTTAACAACGCAATTCCATTCGCATAGTTGGAAATGCATAAAATAACCTGTGCATATAAAGTCGTGATGTTTTCCGAATTGGGAAGCATGCTACTTGCATTGAATGCACAAGTCAGTGCATTGGTATGGAATTGCATTTCAATTTTATTTGCGTTTATTCTTGATAACTTTCTTTGCATAAACGAGTTTTTTGCCTCTAAAGCAGTTTGAATTGATGCCCAATTCTGTATTAGCTTGAGATAGGGGTGGGAGAAAAAGATCGATGTAATTCGTTCGATGTTCGATATTTTAACCATCGATGTTGGAAATTTGGGACATCGATAAAACATCGATGTTAGATCCTGAGATGAAAACATCGGACATTTGATGTCGATACTAGATAGAAACATTTTCTAAGAACTCTTTAATAGTGCCAATACAAACGATACCGAGGCATAGCGGCCCATTTCCAGCTGCACCCGAAAAATATCTTTTTACAGTCAGCTGACCGAAGGATGTGGCACCTAGAAGTTGAATAAATTTAGTCGATTATTAAGTTAATCAATTTGAAATTTGAATGCAAGGGCAAACTATCAGTTTGTCTAACATCGATGTTTGCCTAACATCGATATTACCTTCCGATGTCAACATCGATGGCTACCATCGATGTTCCATCCCTAGCTTGAGCCTCGCTTCCATTTATATCGAGGATTTTGCTTTATTTTGCGTTTAGTAATGAGCATCCAATTTAAGATTATTTAGCCTCCCAACACCAAACAATAAATAGTTGGGTACTTTTTGCTTCCAAATGCAAGTAAAGTGTGAACCAGATGAATTTATTACAAGTGAATTCGATCGTGAGTTGATTGACGCTCACGACGTGTTTTATCAATTCATCGATTTCGATAATTATGGATTTCTCGAAAAAAAAGTAACTAGAAGGAATATGTTAAATCTTTTGAATTTGAAAGAATTGCTTAAATCTTTAGATGTGCCTTTGACGGATGGTATTTTAATTAAATTTTTCCGAAGTAGGTAATTCTATTTTCGCTCTAACTTTAAAACGCACTTACGCGCTTTAATAAATGGGAAATACATTTTTAAACCATTTATCGACTTTCTTTACTAATGGAAATAGTTCATTATTCATTTCCATTACAGCTCCCTTCTAATATTATTAACTTTTTAATCAAGTGACGCCTTTTCAGGAGAAAGTATCGTGTTACAAACTCATTATCTTTCCGATTTGTTTGACCAGTGCGAACATCCGCTGTTAAATTACTCTATACGTTTTGAAAATGTTTGCAATTAATCTTTCATTTATTTAAATTCTTGCATATTTAGGCTAAAGCCGTATAAAGTTCATGTGCACCATTTCAGTCCATTCAAACTATTTCGCATCTAAAATGTGCATATTTATGTAGGTTACATTGGCCAATCAAATATTTTTATGGACTTTCACATTCAAATTGCCACAGATCTCTGTGCCAATTGATACATCTTGGTCTTGACGATGATTTTGCAATAATTGCTTTAATAGAATTTTCACCGATAATAATTCAGTCGAAATTTTCGTTCATCTAAATGTGAAAACCGTTTCACTTTTCTTGGAATTGATTATTTTTCAGATAATACTGCACAAAGCATGACCTTTTGCAGTCATGACCTTTATATGTTAAATTGCATATCCTGCCTCGTAAAAGTCGGCATTTTACGTCTGAATAACAAAAGAATTTGCTTTAATGATGTACATGTTATAGTACTTACTGAAAGTGATAAAATAATATGTATATGGTATTGCAGAGAATACGTTGTTAACTTATAAGGGAATGTCCGAGTTTTTGTACACATCAATAAACACTTTCAAGTTTTTTTTGTGTTGTACAAAATTATTCTAGTTTTATTTATACATTCATATATTCTTCTCGATTTATTTTGATGGAACCCAGTTGCGTTACCTCAAAATGATATCGAATATACAAATGCATACATACATTTTAATAATGTGACTGTAGGTGTTTTCGACCCAGGGGTATTTAACTTTTCAAAGCAGCTAAAAGAATTTGAAATAAATATAGCGAAAGCTGCGTGAAGATAATATTTTGCCTCCTCTAGTCTCTTAGGGTAAAAGATACCACCCAGGGAAGTTGCAAAAATGTATCTGTATGTACAAAATCATTGGATCAAAAATAAAGAAATTTAGATCGCAGACGTTTTATGGAGAACAAAACTGAAAAGGAATATTTTGACATTGTTTTAATTTTCTGCATTTCGACAAAAACGTATAAAATTCTAGCGTAAATTAGTGTATGCCACCTCCCGACTAAAAAGTCAAAATCGCTCGAAGGGAAAGCTCGAGCCTTTCAGCTCACAAAAAACTATCAGTCAATTTTCCAACATTTTGTCATAATAGATTTTCAAGTTAATTCATACAACGCACTTTTGGTTTTGAAACAAAGCACCATTGAGAGGAAAACTGCAATAATACCTGCATCAGAAACCCAACGAACGAAACGTACGAAAACAGGCAAATGTATCCAAAATAGTCTCAAATACAAAATAGAAGTTGAAAAATGTATTATCAAAAATATAATTTCCATTTCAATTAGTTCTTAAACTGTTTGTTCCGTTCTCTTTCCAATTTATTACTTTTCAAGTAAACATACCTTCCTAATTAATTGAGCTTAGTGAACGATACGGTGCTAATAGCACAAGAGCAATGTTACAAACATGTTTATATGGCAAATATCTATCGAAATTGGGTGACAACAACTAAAACGCATGTATTATTGCCAGAGAACAAAAAGGTCAGACTAAAATGTAATAATGTAATTGGGGAAAATACATGACGTAGTGATAAACCCAGTAGGTGCATGGGCGCCCGTATGAATAAAATAGTGATATTCAAATCAACTTAAATCGTTAAAATTTAAATGAATGTTACGTTATTCTTAAATGTTTAGCCAATCATGCTCAGAGGTTATTGTTTTTATGCTAATTTTCTGTTTTCACTGATATAACGTTAACGGATTTATTCAAACAATCAATGGACATGGAAATACGCGCACGCCACATGAATAGTGATCATTTTCAACGACTGCTACCAATAAGGCTTTTTGTACCCACATAATGCAGTAGCAAGAAGATTTGTCCATAATATTTAATTCAACACTTTGTGTTCTCAAAGCAAATGAAGGTAGCAATTTCGAATAGTTTCAATAGAAAATAATTGTTTAATTGAAACGAAATGTTCCTATTCTGTAATATTTTCATAATTTTTTTCGTTGTGGATATTTCTAGCAATTTTCTTTGCATTGTTTTCATTACTTGCTTGGAATTGTGTAATAAACTGAAACTGTTTTTTGGTAACTTGCAGTTTTTGTTGTTAATTTAATTCTATTATTCTCTGATCCTTTAAATGTTTTTATTACGTTTGTTGAACACACACTATGTTATTAATTTTCTGTTAATTTTCAAATTTGGAAATTATTGATTAGTGAACAAAGGGAAGTGTTGAAAAATTTGCTTCTTGGCGCAGATATTTCCTGAACCTGCTGTTGAGTAGAAAGGACTGAAAAATCCAAGAAATATAAAAAAGTTATGGCATTTGCATGTTACATTGTGCTTTGCACGCATTGGATGCTTTGATAAAGATAATTTAACTAAAACAAGTACGGTATTAAATTAATTGCTCACGCAACGCATCCAATATGCTTTCTCCCGTTGAATTAGTAAGTAATTCATTGTCATTACTTTGTGGGAGTTCAAATTAATGTCTTCATGCATGCGTTTCTGTTTTTTTCTAACAGGCGCTCTTAGAAGACATACATTACTTAGGCAATAGTCAGAGCGGGCGGACTAATGCATGTATATTAATTTAATTTGCAAGCTAATGTTTACTTTATGGGATTTCTTTTGCTTTTTGATTGACTGGGCGAAATAATACTTATTACAGTAATGGTGGTTATCATTAGTCATATATTTTTTCATTCACTTTATCGCTATAATTTGTAATTTGCCATGATAATATCCACATGTCAAGGACAAAAATTGATCACAACTCGTTCTTAATTATTTAATTATGTAAGTAATTTTCAAATACTTACATACTTTTCAATTACAATTACAATTTCAAACACTTACTTTACAAATAAATGTAAATACACTTTTAAATAATTGTCACAGACAGTTCATTGTAGAAGTTTATTAACTAATCTAAGACTAATCCAAAGTGATTGAAAATAGGGAAGTCAGATTTTATCGAATTTATCAGGTGTTTGATAATAACGAACTAATTATTCTTTTTATTATTGACATGCAATTTAGCTTATGAATTTATAAATATTCAATATATAAGTACATATAATACAAAAAAAAATTGATTTACAAAGAAGTCACATTGAAGAGAGTGAAAGTTGGTCACAAAAACAAAGTAAACCCGCTTTTTTTTTCTTTCAGAAATATTGTTTTGATGACCTTCAGTTTTAAAATTTAATTTTTTAACTATAAATATTATTTGTTGCAATTTTGCATTAAAAATAAATTAAGGTTTATTGCAATATTGCCAAAAGAAAAATAATTTTGGGACAATGAGACAAACCAACAAACAATGTGATCGAAAATATATGCTTTTTAATGTGTTAAATGTGCATTTAGAAGACGTGTTTATTTCAACGGTTTGCAAAATATCTCCTTTTATTATACTGTTTATTTAACTATTTCTTTCGTGACACTTTCTTCACGTTCGATTTCGACAAGTACGATGTTTGCCGTTCATTAGCATGTTGAAGGAAAAAACGCCATATTGCATATTATAATCATTATATGAACTACAATTAATACGTTACTTCATGTTAACAGGTGTGAAAAACCAACTTTTCCCCCAATTTTTATTGATGGAAACTTGTTAAAATTCCTTTATTATGAATGTTGATTTTCAGAAGCGTAGTTTTCGCAAATTTGTTTACGAGTGTCCTTACAAGCTTTTGCAAATACATATATCTTCTTTTTCAGATAAAAAAAGTGAAATGAAAAAGTTTAAAGTAGTTTCTGCAATACAGGTAAGATAATTTCAAATACAATTTTTAGTGTCAATTACAATAATCTAGTTGCATTTCATTAATAGATAAAATGGAAATAGACCTTAAATTGAACACCTGCAATTTGATTTTGCACACTATTTAATCGAATAATCGTGTTTCTTGGAAATATGTACCTACAAACCGAAATTATTATATAAGCTGATAAGGCTGTTCAAAGAGCATATAATCATAATCACGAATTATAATTTTAGGAATGAAGCAATTGAGAAAACTTGAAATATTTGACAAATTTTTAGATCATGCTAAATCATTACCTGAATCAAATACATTGACATTCATGTATTTAACTACAATAATAGTCGATGAAATAAATGCTACAATTATTACAATTAAAATAATAGAAAATGTCTTGCTTTGATTTGCTAATATTTTAGTTTATTCATGCGGATCGCCCGAACAACAGAACATTGCACTTTATGTAGTTTTACGCCAATTATCGGTCATTTACTTTTGCTGGTTTATTTTTAGTATTATTTATTTAAATTTGTTTGAGGATGCTTTCAGCTAATATGAGAAAGAAATATGAAGCATTGTTGGACACTTTTATTGTGCATAATATTATTGTTTAGGACACTTGTTTGCTTTGGCCTGTTTGCTAAATGAAAACCAAAACCATATTCATTTTATACAGGATGTTGCAGCCGCAATGTCCGGTTTATGACTGTTCTGCTGATAGATTTAAAAAAAAAAACGCTCTTTACGATTACAAGTTGTTGTAAGCGAGTGTGCCAGATAATTCCAACGCAAATAAGATTATAGAAAAAAACATATTTTTATTTGGCAGAGTATTATCCGCGGACGTTTTACGTTCCCTTCGCTTAACTGACGAAACAATCTATAGAGCAATTATTGTTTATAAACATGATTGTTATTGCTCCAAGGTGACAATGGTAAGCGCGTCTCGAGGCTTCAGAACATCGACATTGTTAAATTTGTCTTCCAATAAATTGTCCCATTCGTTTTATTATCGCATTTAGTGCGATGTTAATTCACCACTTTAACCATGAAAAATCACATTTTGTTGATGAATGGCCAAGGATTCATCATACATAATCAGTCGCATTACATTCGTATTTATTTTGCACACACGTTGATCTGTAAGATGGCTGGAAAATTCCTTTACTAGCTGCTGTTTATGTAGTAAATTGCCAAACTGTTTGTTCCTGGAAAGCATTGTATCTCGGGAATGTCACATGATCTATTCGTTTATTATAAACATTCGTTAACTACGAGTGAGGAGAGGAGTGGCTTCCAACCAGTCACGGCCATATAATATGTTTCTTCCGCTCTTATCAGATAATATCGAATATATATGGTGTTTATATGTAAATATACAATATACGTTGCCTGCTTGATTGCTGCCAAAGGATTGGAATATAAGCGACAATTTATGTGGAAAATTTAATGGATATTTGTCTAAGTAATCCGATAATTAGAATATAAGCAGATCAGATCAGTTGCGTTTTGAAACTTAACTTGGTTGATTTTCAGTTTTTCTCTATAGGTGTACAAAGTGTTTCGTGACTCTATGGCCATTGGTTAAGGGCGAATTATTTGGTCCATTTTAATTGGGTAGACAAATTTGGTTTGGTTTAAAAAAAATTAATTTATAGGCAGGTCCTAGTCTGAAGTCTTCTGGTTATAGCCCAGATATACAGAGTGGCCATTTTCTGAATCTTTGTATGGGTRACTTCTACATTTTTAAAGATAGATAATCCGTTAAATGGGCAAAATTGGGCAGAATTCGATTGCCTATTCATTACCTTTTTCAAAATTTAGGTACCCGACTTGGTTCCTGAAGTATCCTGAAAAGGCAAGAAATCAACACTTTTTTAATTCTCATATAATTCGTGAACTACTTAAATTAGAAAAAAAGTTAAAATTGTCTTTGGTGGAACTTTTTGCGTTGAATTCAATAAACTAGCACTCGTTGTCATAGTCAACTTGATTTACGAGATAAAAAATAAACTTATGTTTTTTTAAATGGTAATCATAGTTGGCTATGGGCGTTTTAAAATCCTTATTTTTTCTGAATTTAACGATATAACTCTTTGTATGTTTTTCCCATTTTGTTGCCGTAGAACTTCAAAAGAAGATAAAAAATGTGTAGTAGGCTATGGAAACAAGAAGTATATTATCACACAAAGCACAAAACAAAAATGAAATAATTAACAGACACAATCATCTTTACTGGGCTAATGAAAATCATCATCTAATCATAGGCGAGACCAACGTGTTTTTTTTTATGAATGTCTGGTGAGGCATTTTTAGTGGTAAAATTATTGGTCCATTCTTTTATAATCACAATTTAAATATTGAAAGATGATTACACTTTTTACCAAATGAATTTGATGACATGACAGACTTTAACCATGCAAAAACGTCCTGGCCGTAAGCGGAAGTCAATTAGAACATTTAATTTAAACGATTAATTATTGTTTTGCGCTTTGTATGATCTCGTTCTTGTTTCCATAGCCTACTACAGATTTTTATCTTCTTTTGAAGTTTTACGGCAACAAAAGGAGAAAAACATACAAACAATTATGTATATCGTTAAATTCAGAAAAAATAAGGATTTTAAAAGGCCCATAGCCAACTATGATTACCATTTAAAAAAATATAAGTTTATTTTTTATCTCGTAAATCAAGCTGACTATGATAACGCAAAAAGTTGTACTAAGGGCAGTTTTAACTTTTTGTCTAAGTTAAGCAGTTCACGTAATAAGTGATAATTTGTTGTCTTTTCAGGATATTTCAGGAACCTAGTCGGGTACCCAAATTTTGAAAACGGTAATGAATAGGCAATCGAATTCTGCCCAATTTTGCCCATTTAACGGATTCCCTATCTTTAAAAATGTAGAAGTTACCCATACAAAGATTCAGAAAATGGCCATCCTGTATATAGATATGTATATGGATGGTGCGAAAGAAAAAAATAAGGTAACGTTTCAAGGAATCCTAAAAAGACAGTAATTTTATTTTTTAAAACAGCAAAATCTTTTCCCAGCCACGGAACTGAATTATTGCGCCGGTGCGTTGGGTTGGCGTACCAAGCAATTTGCGCAGCAGTGCGCCAACTGCCTAAAAATTCACTGAGTGACCCAGTCCTAATACGAAGTGACAAATCGCGGCTTTTTACAGACGGAAATCCAATAGACCGATTTATTAATGTAGCCATTTTCACTTGTTTTCTAATAGCACTTTTTAATGAAGAATCAACTACATATTTTACCGCAAACCTGCCGCCTGCGGATAGGAAAAAAATCCATGCTGCACAGCTGTTTAATCAATTTCCATAGTTTCTAAATATGCAAACGAAAATAACGATCCGCAAGTATCATCATTGCCTTGATAATTACTTTATGCTCGGATTTCTAAAATTGCCGTTTTATGTCTTAATAACTTGGATAAGATCACTATTACTAATGGTCTTGTAAATCAGTGTTCGATATTTATTTTACAAAACATCCTTGAGTTTCATTCCTGAACAAAAAACGGCCTGCTCGGCACGATTTCGATCTACTGTTTCCTCATGGCTTATTTCTTAAGTTACTTGAAGAGTATAAACGTCGATTAAAATAGTATTGATTGTATTACATTATGCCATACTTTTGCCATCGAAGCTAAATTTATTAAAATTGATTACTCATCATCTTGAGATTGATATAATTAAATAAATGATTTAATGTATAAAATAATCAACAAAAACTGTTCTACCACTTATTAATTTTTTTGTTTCATTTCATGAATTTCATATTTTGCCTGTTCGTTTTCCGTTTCATCATTTTCTCAGTTATTCTCTTAATCGTTTAAATGCCTTATTTCATTTCAGATCTTTAGTCACATGTCAATGTATCAGATAGAACGTAAGAAACGCACATACAAACAAATGTATTGTGAATTTTGTATTTTGCCAGAAATTAAAAACGAATTATTTTGATATAATCTTATAAATTGATAAATGATCTCCTACATTTTGCAGAAATTGATACAACGATCAAAGATCCACAAGTGATAACAGAACAAAATCGTAAACAATGGCTTTCAGTCTAATTATTTCATATCAGCCTTGACTCATTTTGCAAAACTCGATTCCAAAGATTATTAATTTATTAGCCGCGTGTTGTTATGGATAAAGTTAAGTTATAAGTTCCCTTATAAGATTTATCCATTACGTCAGTGTTTTATGAGTGCAAATAGTAAATTTATTGGTTAGCAGACAAGATTACAGCGTTAATAAATGAATCAAGATCGCAGTTTTTGTGTTGTTATTGTGGTGGCATTTGTGGTTCCTAGCGGATTAGACTTGAATACTTGTATAACTGAGTTTCTAAAGGTAAATCATGTTGAAAGCTCCACTAACACCGGACCAAAATAATGTTCTATTTCTTCCAACCAAGAAATAGGCCAGTATTTCTTTATCCTGCGTTTCTGAAATATTTGTTCATTCCGTGTATATAATAGAATGTTTCCACAAATATTTTTATTGGTTGTGTTTTTGAATCACAAACAAGTGTAGCTTTATACGAATATCCAAACTCGTTGAGGATTTAAATGAGATTAATTCTTAGACAATTATGTTACAATCTTGCTGAGCAAGTGGCTTGAAAATTTACATTTGTTATCTGTTGGCTTCGCTTGAAATGTACCGTTCTGTAAGCTTTTGTAAGTTTAAAAGTAAAGCCTATCTAAAACATGTAAAAGTTCAATTTTCATTTCAATAAAGCATTTATTTAATTAAATCTGAAAATCTGAAAACAGAATTATATAACGAAATTATTGCTGAAACAGCAATAAAATTAAAAGAATACTTTTATCATTTAACTAGTTTTAACACCAAGTTTATATTTTTACTGCAGTAGTTCAGAAACGCGAAATAAACATACATATCACCCTCTTAAAGTCAAGCAATTCGAGCAAAAATAATAAAAAAACGGAACAATTTGACAAAAAATGTA